ATATATATATATATATATATATATATATATATATATATATATATCTGTATATATATATATATATATATATTTGTTGTTGTATTTCTGCTGTATATACACACAAAGAAGAACTCCTCATTTATCAAGCCCCAAACGACCCACCCACAAACAAATCATCACACACGCCATCCATATACACGCATGCGCACGCATGCATGCATGCATGCATGCATGCATGCATGCATGCATGCAAGCATGCGTCTGAATGCATGCATGCATGCATGGATGCATGCAAGCAGGCGTCTGTATGCGTGTATGCATGCACATGCATGCAGATGCATGCACATGCATGCAGATGCATGCACATGCATGCAGATGCATGCATGTGCATGCATGGAGCAAATGAGAGAGGGCAGTGCGTTGCTGAAGTTGCGGATGGGGGTGCAGCGAAATAATCTAATAAATATAAACACCAATATATTTATATTTATTTTTATTTTTATTTTTATTTTTATATTTTTATTTTTATTTATATATACTTATTTATATTATATGTATTTGTATTTATCTATTTTACATATATATATATATATATATATATATATATATATATATATATATNTATATATATATATATATATAATATATATATATAGATGCATATATATTTGTTGTGTATTTTCTTTGTTTTGTGTGTGTTGTTCTCTGTTTATATTATGGAGGCAAATTTATTTATTTATTTATACAAAAATAAATATAAATAAAAAAATAAATATTTATTTATTTATATTTATTTGTTTAGTTGTTTACACCCCAGCCTATGCATGCATGCAACAAAGAAAATAAATAAATAAATAAAGAAGAAAGAAACATATAAAATAAATAAAAAGATAAATGAAGATATAAACAAATAAATAAATAAAGAGATAGAGATAAAGAAAGAAAAAATAAAACAAAACAAAACAAAACAAAACAAAACAAAATAAATAAAGATGAGGTGTATAGAGAGATAATCAAGTGCTTTTTCTCTCTCCTTTTTTTTTTTTTCTTTTTTCTTTTTTCTTTTTTTCTTTTCTTTTTTCTCTTTTTTTTTGTTTCTTTTTCTTTCTCCTTTTCTTTTTTTGTTTTTCTTTTTTTTTCTTTTTTTTATTTTTATCTTTCTTTTCTTTTTCTTTTTTTTTGTTCCTCTTTCTCTCGTTTCTTCTTCTTTTTCTATTTTTCTTTTTTTTTTTAATTATTTTATTTTTTCTTTTTTTCTTTTTTTTTCTTTTTTGTTTTGTTTTTTCTCTTTCTCTCCTTCCTGCATGCATCATCTCCTCCCCCCTTTCCTTCTTTCTTTCTCTCTTTCTTTCTCTCTTTCTCTCTTTATTTATTTTTTTAATATCTTTTTATCTTTATTTATTTCTCAATGAATAACCACAGACCATCCCCCCCCGCATAAAAATTCATCCGAAAATTAGGGTTTAGGGTTTAGGGTTTCCACCCTTTCCTCTCCCCCCAAACCCTAAACCCTAAACCCTAAACCCTAAACCCTAAACCCTGTATTATATTTTTCTTCTTCTTCTGCAGTCAACAAAAGGAATACACCCCCCTAGACTAGAGAAGCAATCCTTAAGTGCAGCAGAAGCAGATTGGGGCTGTACAAAGAAGAAAGTAAGAACAGCAGCAAGAAGAGAGGGAACAGCAGCACAAATCATCATTGTGGATAGACCCCAATTGGATAGGGTCACCTTCATTATATAAATACCAGCAACAGCCCCAACCTTACCTAGAGCTGCAGATACACCCGAATATGTAGACCGTACAGAAGGAGGAAAAACAACAGAAGGTAATATAAATGTTGTTATGCTAGCACCCCAATTAATAAAGAAATTAATAATAGATAGTATAATTAATTGAGGCCATCCATATTGCTGCAGCATGCATGCAGCAGCAGAAAGAAGAAAACAAGAAAAAGCTAAACCTATAAACCCCCAGAACTGCAACCACTTAACCCCCATCTTTCTCAATACTAATATACCCATATAACACCCAGGAATACCTATAGAATTTAAAAATATATTTTGTTTTATTATATCCTCGACTTGTGTTTTTTTTCCCCATATAACCTCTGTTATCTCTGGCTGCACCAGCAGCACACCATAGGCTGTTACGTCATATAGTAGCCAGCATACACCCGTCCCCAGGAGAGAACGCCAATAAGTTTTTTTTATAAATATATTTAAAAAAGAAAGAGTTATATTGGGGTGTATATACTCCTTAGAATCCTTGAGTCTCCATGCAGGTAGCCATACAAAGAAAGCAGGAATACACCCGAAACATAATAAAACCCTAAAACATATCTCTATAGAACCACTGGTTAACCACCATAAAAATAAAGATAAAATATAAGGAAATAATATACCGGGTACATTCATAGAATAAGCTAAAGATACACGTAAACATCTATCATCTTCTTTTGTTGAATTTGTGCTTTCTGCTGCTGTCACNAATAAGCTAAAGATACACGTAAACATCTATCATCTTCTTTTGTTGAATTTGTGCTTTCTGCTGCTGTCACTGCACTAAGAGGATAAACACCCCCCGACCCCACCCCTAATATAAACCTAAAAACCCCAATTATAATCGTAATAGATAGAGCTGAACCCCAAGAAAATAAAGAAGAACCTAAAGCACCAAAACCCACTAAAAATAATGTTAATATCATCGCCAAGCGGCGACCTATAAGGTCACCTAGATTCCCCATAACACACATACCAACGATAGCACCAGCATAAGAAAGCATCTTTATTGTTCCGTTTCCTACTACAGATTCAAGTGTCTGTCTATACACCTCATCCTGATTCATAATAAATAAAGCTATTGAGGTCACCACAAAATTATAATTACTAGAAAATACAGCTAAACAAGGTACTAATAAACTCGAACATTTCTCTCTATCCACACATAAAGATTTACATACACCCCGAGGAGATTCAACACAACTAGATAGAGATGTGTTCGTCGTCTCTTCTTTGCTTTCTCCTCCTCCTGCTGCTGCTGCAGCAGCAGCTGCTGCTGCTGCTGCTGCTGCTGATGATGATGGTTCTGCTGCTGATGAGGATGAGGAGGAGGATGATGCTGCTTCTCTCGTGTTTGCTGCTGTCTCGTGAGACAGCTTGCTGCACTCCGCCCAGGCGCTGGGGCTCGTCATCTCTTCGCTTATAAGTTTACCTGCGGGAGCCATTTTCAGTATGAAGGCGTCGTCAGCTGCAGCAGAAGAATTTAAGTTTGTGTTAAGAGTTAAAGTATCAGAACCCACACGAGCCAGCTGCTGCTCTGCTGTTTCTCCTGGGGTCGTGCTGCGAGAGGTGTCTGCTGCTGTACCAACAGCAGCAGCAGCAGCAGCAGCAGCAACAGAAACAGATGCAGCAGCAACAGATACTGGGGCCTCTTCTTCTAGCTCTAATGCAGAAGAAGGAGGAGGAGCTGAAAAAGAACTGCTGTTGTTGCTGGAGAGATGCTCTGCTGGGGAATGCGGCTGCGGGGGGGTGTGCACCGGAGCAGAGGTTGAAACTTCTTCGTTTCTTCTGTCTCGCGAGGGAGAAATAGGATTCAGGGGGTTTATAGAGGGAGAGGATGAGGGCGAGGGCCGCCCAGAAGAAAGAAAGGCCATGGGCTTCTTATTCAATTCGTAAATATTCTGAAATGGGGGTTTGATCGGCCTGATGAGGAGAGGCAGAAGCAGCAGAAAGCGGCAGCAGCAACGAGAGAAACCTCAAGGATTCGCGACGCACAGAGGGAATACATGAGAAAAAAAAACAAATTCATGAATTATTTTTATTTATTTATCTATTAAATACAATAAAAACACAAAATTACACAAAATTTTTAGCTTTTCGTGTTTTATGAATTGCAGCCACAGCACCCGAAACCAGTATCAGCATCAACTGCTGGGGTGTATGTACACCTGCGCCGACACCGGAAACCCTACAGCAACTTTCTGCTTATTTCACGAATATTTTGGGGTTATTTCAGCTTAATATGCACACATTTCGCATAGAATGCCTCCATTCAACGCCACTCAACAAACCGTAATAAACCCTAAACCCTAAACCCTAAACCCTAAACCCTAAACCCTAACTCGTGGGCTGCTGCCGATCGGCGGCTCTCTGTGGGTGGGGCTTTTTAAATTCCCCTTTTCTTTCATCTTTATAAATATACTAACCACAAACCCCCATCCACAAACCCTTTACTCAACAGAAACCCAACAACGAGGGTTTAGGGTTTAGGGTTTATGGTCTAGGGTTTAGGGTTTAGGGTTTAGAGTTCACAATTGAATGGTTTCTATTGCTACCAACACAACCAAACAAGAAGAGTACATCTCTCCTCAGGCTCTATATCTTATCTTTACTATGTAACTTTCGGTTTATG